TTGCTTGTCACATTAATTTTTTCTTTTGTGTAATGTTCTGAACACTTTCAGAAAAATTTAAGTCAACATTTTTGTGTATGAAGTTAAAACAAAATTCAAAAATATAGTAAATTAAAACAGTTTGAGATTATTATTGGTTAATTTCACAACTTTGGATCCAACAGTAGTCAAGAATGTTCTTAGAGAATTTTGTTGCTTTGAAACAGATACACCTGCTGACAACTGGACTACTTTGGCTCAGACCAACTAGCCTAAGCCCCAGAGTTGTCATTTTATATATATATATATATATATATATATATATATATATATATATATATATATATATATATATATATATATATATATGACAAAAATTTGGTGCATCTTAAATGTTCTCAGTACTCTTTTTTTGAAAACTAGATACTTAATACACAGTTAAAAACAATTTTGTTTAGAAACTTTGGTGACATAGTGATTGTGAGTTCAATCCATAGGTCAGGTAATGTGTACTTGAATGTAGAAACAGGTGAGCAATAAAATAAGAACTAGACAAGATATCCCTAGAGATGGGCAGTGGAACAAGGATAGTCTACCCCTGTAGATTAAATAATGGCCTTAGTTCAAAATTCCCTGTAGATTACACAGATCAATATATGCCTGAGGAAGGTTAGAGAACACAATGGCCAAAATGTTGTGATGACAATAATAAAGATGAGGAGAATAGTCCAAATATAAATAGCATAAACATTTATAGTCTTTTAAGCTTAAAAATATGCCAATAATATTAGAAAGTGGCATCAACTTGTAACATCTTCTCTAACAGCAGAAGCAACTCATAAAATTAAAATCATTTTCCACAATATATATATTGATTATCTTAGAGATATTATACCCAGAATATTAGTGACATCAACTGTAGGATCTTGTCTACTACTGTACATTAGACAAGATATTCCATTTATTTGTTTTTTACTTTAAAAATATTTTTTACTGTTATACTATTTGCATGATTATTTGCATATTTGTCTTATCTTACTATTAACAATGTAATATAATTCAAAGATCATTATTAATGCTTGCTTTGTTTTATAACATGATCAGTCTAGTTTTAACTCCTTAAGATCTTTTATTGCAATAATACATTACTGTTGCTCTTGTGTGCTTTGTTCTACTATTACTCTTATTATTATTATAATAATTACTACTGATACTACTGATACTACTACTACTAATAATAATACAATTATTATTATTATTAATATTTTATTTCCTTTGATTTCTGATGTGTACTCATTTCTTTCCGTGTCCCGCCCAGGGACCTAAGGTTAGAAATGGCATCATGACGTTTTCCATTAAAAAAAAAAAGAAAAAAAAGTTTACATAGACAAAGCCCTTCATAAGTTGTAGGCTGTACTTGTGAGAACAATTTTTTGTATTTCTTTAAGGCATGGGCTTCCAGGGATCCCTTCAATTAGTCTACTGGAATCTTTTCCAACCAATCTGAGGACTCCAACTACAATAGAGATTGTTAATGTTCCCATCAGCCACATTTTTGAGATTTCGATTTCAAGGTCCTTGTATTTTGATAGCTTTTTGAAGATCTTCAAAAATACATTGCAGTCTGCAGGGACTGCCATATTAATAAGGAGGCACCTTTTTTGGGTGCGATCTCTAATAACAATATCTGGGTGGTTAGCTTTGTTCTGTGTGTATTGTGTAGTCCCATAAAATTGTAACAGGTTCTATCTCCATAACCGGGTCTTGGTGGTGTTCATACCACTTCCTTTCAGTTTCCTTCCCACAGAAGTTACAGATTTTCCAGTGCAGATATTGGCCAACTCTGTCATATCGGGTTTTATATTCAGTGGGTGCTAATACCGTGCAACCTGATACAAGATGATCGATTGTTTGTGGGTAACTATCACAGAACCTGCATTTTGGGCTAACACTATATTTTAGTATGTGTTCTTGATAATTTTGGGTTAACAAGCACTGATATTGTGCAGCAAGGATAAAACCTTCCGTTTCAGCTTTTAACCCTGCACTATGCAGCCACTGATGGGTACGGGGCTTGTCTACATCAGCTTGTTTGGTACAGGCAGAGTATTGGCCATGAAGTGGTTTATCTTGCCATTTTTTCTGTATCTGGTCGGTTGCATTTGTTTTTGCTTTCTTTTTTATGTATTTTGAAGCTTCAATCGGTGTATTGTGCTTTACTTGTAATTCTGGATCCATTTGAAACTCCATTTTGAACTTGTTAGCTTCTTTTATTACGGAATAAAGGTGCTTACTACTTTCATGTTCTTTGACACAGATCACCATCCAGGCTTCCATAGTTTCTAGGTATCTTTGAAGGCCAATTGTTGTAATTTTGTAAAACAGTTTTATTTGAACTAATCCTCTACCCCCCTCGGATCTGGTCACATACAGACAATCAACCTTGGGATGATGTCTGTGGTGGCAGGTGAGAAGCTTTCTTGTTTTGGCGTCTATTCACTTAATGTCAACTATGGTCCAATTAAGGATGTTGAAGCTGTATTACACCAAAGTGTTTATGGCTGATATTCTGTTTTTTGAATTCAGCTTGGTATTTAGTACCAAATACACACATTTGTAGTACTCCTTTCTTATCTTCTCCTTCATTATTATTATTATTATTATTATTATTATTATTATTATTATTGTTCTTCTTCTTATGATTTTATTTATAATGTATACTCTTTGCTCCTTCTTTTGTTGGTTACTTAAAGCTGAAACATATTTCAGATTGTAGGAAATTTCTTACAGTACCTGGTGTTCCAAAATAGTACCCTTCCTAAATACTAACTAGGCTTGACACTGCTTAACTTCAGTAAATTGAACAAGAACTGGTGTTTTCTGTGTGATTCATCCAAACGAGTTTTATTAAATAAAACTGACAAAGTGTGTCTCTTCAACCTTTTTTATTGTCTTACCAATTTCCAACTGAGGTTTTTTACATCAGGATTAAAATTCTTATATTGTCCAAATTTCTTTTCTTTTTTTTTTGTTTGTTACATTTGAGTACTTTTGACTGTCACAGTCATTTCAAGAATTATGAGAGATTAGTATGTTCAGCAAGATGCATTTCACTAAATTCTGGCATTTTTAGATTGATGTAGTTAGGATTTAAGTCAGTTAAAGGTGAAGTCATCTGCAATGATCAAATGGAAAAACATGTATTCAGCATTTGTACATGTTCATTGTTTTTTTTATTTTTATACATTTCATTATATGATCTCCTATGGAGAAAGATATTTTATTTAATGTTGATTGTTTCTTTTGTTTTATAATGCCTTCAAGAGTTGTAAGTCTTTCTTAGTAATGAGTCCTATATAGTATTTTAGTGTTATCTATTAACATTTAACACTGCATTATTAATATTACTTCCCTTTCCACTGCATTCTTTTTCAAGGCCTCTCTATTGCAGTATCCTTATTGTTAATTTCACTCAAAGGTGTTTTCTGTTGCCATAGCAGGATATAGCAACACAACTATGAAATTCAAACAATTTCATATTCAGGAATCAGAATCATCTTAAGTGACAGGATAAACTTTTTGTACAGCTAGAGAGAGAAATGTGAGAGAGAAAATGTCAACATTGGAGGACTGTTTTGAAAGAGATATTTGATTTAGTTACATTTGTATTTTGAAATGGTTATATATAAAATATTTGATACAAAGGTTTGTCTATACAATAAAACAGCTTGGAGAACATAATAAGATGGTAAGTTAAGGTCAATGAAATATGTTTATAGAGTGAGAACTCATTATATATTCAATTTTGATTTCAGAACCTGTTTTAGTTTGAGCTTAGTTATATATCAATTATTGATATATTAGTCATCATAAAGAGACATCCCTTTTCTCATAAAGAAATAAAAACTGAAACCATTTTAAATTTACTTATATGCATGTATTTGTTTCTGTCTAAAAAAAACAACTTAGCCAAAAATAATAAGGTGAAAACATGGAAAGGTAAGAAATTATGTCTTTTTTTTTTTATTATTGTCAAATCACTAATTCCCACGATTCCAAAATTGAGACAGTGTGCATTAATGGATTATAAGTAGAAACCTATAATTAATACCAGATTTTGGCAAATATGTACCTTCTTGTACATGAAAAAAACAGTCTCAATAGGATGGTTTTTCCTTTGACACTGCTATTATTTTAACTACCTTCACTCCTTGACAATGTTCATTGTTTTAAAAAGTGATTAGAATTGTAATAAAGCCTAAACATATGATGCAAGTGAATTTATACATTTTTTGTTCTTGAGAATTTATGGCAAATATATTAAACACTATTTATTTATTAAATTGTTTATTTACAAGAATAATTTTATATTTACAATATTTTAAAAATTAATACAATTAAAACTAATGCAATATTACCAATTTATAAAGAAGTAAATATGAAAATTTTTTATTCATAAATTTATAAACATTTACTAAATTATTAAAATATGTGAACCAACTATAAGGAAATACTTATTATTTACCATTTTATAAAGTTTGAATCAATTGGCAATCAACCAATGTTTTGCCAACCATTCCAATAAACAATATTATAAATAGTTTTTATTATTTTTATCAATTCTCAAGAACAAAAAAAATGTATAAATTCATTTTCATATCTTTAATTTTTATTAAAATTCTAATAATCACTTTTTAAAACAATAAACATTGTCAAGAAAGTGAAGGTAGTTGAAATAATAGGAAAAACTGCCCTTTTGACACCTTTTTTTTTCACAGGCATGAAGGTCCATGTTTGCCCAGATTTTTATAAGCCCATAATTAATATCAGATTTTTATAACTGTATAATTAATATTAGATTTTAAAAAATAACTATAATTAAAGTAAACACCAGAGATAGTTGTAAAATAAAAATAACAAATGATACTTTTTATTCAAGATGAATGGTTGAGACAATAAATTCACCAACAATATAGTTTTATAAAAATAAAGATTTTTATTTTTTCAATGTACCATTTCAGCTTCTAGTTCTGCCTCAACTGCAGAATCCTCAACAGATCCTAATCAACCAGCCCTGGACTCACAGCAATCTACAGTAGATGCTGTAGGTTCAGGGGATGCCTCCCAAGTACCTGCTGGGTCTGAAGTTCCCGAATCAACCGTTGTCACTGAAGAGAAGCAATCAACAGAGGAAGCAAAAGGCTCTACTGATAAATTTACTGGGCTACAGGATCAAATTGAAGAAGATAAAAAAGAAACCTCCCAAAACTCTGAAGCAAAGACAGGTTCCAATGACCAAACAAAGGCTTCTGACAAAGTGCAGTCTCAAGAACAATTTGGTTCTTTGGATAAAACTGATTCTTTAGACCAAACATTTTCGGAACAGTCAGGATCATTTGATCAGACAGGCTCACTGGATAAAATTGGATCAATTGATGATGATGGAAATGATGCTGTGAGTTTTTTAAAAATCTTTTTTTTTTATTTTCCAGCTTTTTTTATTTAACTGTTTGTTATTTATGTTATGGAAAGTTGTTTCTGGGTTAGTTTGAACAAAAAGTATGTACTTATTGATTTTTATTTTAAAATTTTACTTGTGTAAATTATATAAATTGTACATAAATAATGTCTTAAATTTCATGTAAAAAATTATAAAGATTTACAACTATTTTCCTTTAGTATTTGCATATAGGATGGTGGATCAATAAATATGTTATGAGTTGAAATTTGATATGAACGTTTTTACCTGTGCAATTAACATTCACTACTAAGTGAAGAAATTCTGTTGAAAAATAAAGTATTTGCTACATAAAATAAAATCTTTTCCTCATTAGGCTGCAGAATTATTGGAATACTTTTACATTTAAATATTTGAGTGTATATTAATTCATATACATGTGAATTCTAACATATTTAATAATTACTGTATTTTTCAAGTATATGTACATATTTAAAACTAGTGATTCTTGTACTGTAACAAGCAAAATATATGATGATAACACACTTAAAATAATCTATATGTCAATGAAGGGTTGAAGTACAGAGGACCAAAATGATAAAGTATATTTTCAACATTAAAATAAATAAGTATACACACACATACACACACATGCAAACACACATGATAATATGATTGAAAATTATGTATGATTGAATAATGAAAACATGTTAAATGTTTCAATTTTTATTTTATTACCAATCTTTCATTAAATAAGAACATTATCAGAACTAAAACAGGTATAATAAGTTTTTATATCATGTATTTACAATGTATAAAAACGATGACTTAAATGAAGAAATTTAATACATTAAAAAGGCAATAAAATCTTTACTTACATCATATTAACAATTACAGTACAAGGTCAGATTAATAGGGCATCCAGTAGTAATGGTTTGTGAGACTAGATTGCTAACCATTGCTCCATGGTGAGGTGCCCTTATTGATATTTACTAAGCTTAGTTTATTATGGCATAAGGCCAGAGTAATAGGGCATCCAGTGAGGATCAAACTCACTACAGTAGTAATGATCCGTGAGACTAGATTGCTAAACATTGCTCTATGGTGAGGTGGCCTTATTGATATTTACTAATCTCAGTTTATTATGGCATAAGGCCAGAGTAATAGGGCATCCAGTAAGGATCAAACTCACTACAGTAGTAATGGTCTGTGAGACTAGATTGTTAACCATTGCTCTATGGTGAGGTACCTTTATTGATATTTACTAAGCTCAGTTTATTATGGCACAAGGCCAGAGTAATAGGGCATCCAGTGAGGATCAAACTCACTATAGTAGTAATGATCTGAGAGACTAGATTGTTATTGCTCTATGGTGAGGTACCTTTATTGATATTTACTAAGCTCAGTTTATTATGGCATAAGGCCAGAAATTAGGGCATCCAGTGAGGATCAAACTCACTACGGTAGTAATGATCTGTGAGACTAGATTGCTAACCATTGGACTATGGTGAGGTGCCCTTATTGATATTTACTAAGCTCAGTTTATTATGGCATAAGGCCAGAGTAATAGGGCATCCAGTGAGGATCAAACTCACTACGGTAGTAATGGTCTGTGAGACTAGATTGTTAACCATTGCTCTATGGTGATGTGTCCTTATTAATATTTACTAAGCTCAGTTTATTATGGCATAAGACCAGAGTAATAGGGCATCCAGTGAGGATCAAACTCACTACGGTAGTAATGGTCTGTGAGACTAGATTGTTAACCATTGCTCTATGGTGATGTGTCCTTATTGATATTTACTAAGCTCAGTTTATTATGGCGCAAGGCCAGAGTAATAGGGCATCCAGTGAGGATCAAACTCAATACAGTAGTAATGATCTGAGAGACTAGATTGCTAACCATTGCTCTATGGTGAGGTGCCCTTATTGATATTTACTAAGCTCAGTTTATTATGGCATAAGGCCAGAGTAATAGGGCATCCAGTGAGGATCAAACTCACTACAGTAGTAATGATCTGAGAGACTAGATTGTTAAACATTGCACTATGGTGAAGTGCCTTTATTGATATTTACTAAGATTAGTTTATTAAAGCACAAAGCCAGAGTAATAGGGCATCCAGTGAGGATCAAACTCACTACAGTAGCAATGGTATGTGAGACTCGATTGCTAATTTTCAACAAGGGAAATAACCCAATGATTTTTCATTAATCACACAGATTGAATATTATACAGTGAGAGTTTTATATCAAAATTCAGCTAATAATAGTCTCAGTCTATAGATTTATTGATCCACACTGATGAATAACTAAATATGGAAAGATTTTGTTGTTTGATAATTTGAAAAAATGAATATATATTTTCATTATTATTTTACTTTATATCTGACATTATAATTATATTTGTTGCTATAAAGATTTCACAGCATTATATTTATATATATAAATATAAATGAAGTTTAATTTTATTACTAATGTGTGTATGCATATATACATGAAGAGAAAGAAAATAGATATAGACATTGTGGATATAGGAATTAATAATGCATGGTGACAGTTTCATGCTTCAATATGATCTTCAAGCTGAGTGCTATTACTTTTGTATATAGGTAATGAGGAAATTAAGGGAAATGCAGGAAGATTAAACAGACCCTTCCCAGTTTCTATTGTTTAGTAATAATGCTAAGTGTTATTTATGGTCATGACTTAGACTGCTTGTGGACACAGAGATCAACACTGAATGGCAACAATCTATTGCATACTTGAATGCAATCTTCAGGCCATGTGAGTAGTATTATAACACAACTATTTATATATATTAGTCATTGGGGTATTATGGGTAGTAAGGTGTTAATTCCAATTTATTGTGCTATCCTTATGGCTATAGAATAGGTAGGAACAGTTATTTTAAATTTTTCAAATGGCTACTGAATAAAATTAGTAATGGTTTGGAAATAGTAACCACTTTCTGGCACATAACTAGTTCTATTCAGTAGTCATCAGAATAATTTAAAATAACTATTCCCACCTATACTATAGCCATTAATATAGCACAATAAATTAGAAATAATACCTTAGTACCTATAATGACATACTGGTTAACATATATAAATATTCAAACTACTATCCAACTTACATAGTCTGAAGATTGTGTTCAAACATGAAACAGGCTACACAGCCTATATTTATATACACTATATCCAGGATATTGAGTACTTCTACCATGCCATGAATATGGTATACCTTAAACTGATATTATTTCTACCTGATCAGTGATATTATATGAAACTTTGAATAGTGAATTTTTGTATTATTGAATTAATATTATTGTTTGTATGTATGTATGTATGTATGTATGTATATATATATATATATATATATATATATATATATATATATATGAGAGAGAGAAAGAGTTTGTTTATTATTTATTTAATTCACTATATTCATTATATTGTATATCTATATTCACTGGACCGATTATATACATACTTCCCCCAGCCACCCAACCAGCATAAATAATCCCCTAATGATCTATATACACATCCTGCTATATGTACAGTTACTAAAGGAATAGTAGCTATTGGTCTGAAAAATCATATTGAAACATGAAATTGACAGTCACCATAAAATGTTGATTCCTATACATATAATATCTATACCTACAAATCTCCAATCTCTGATATTGAGCATTCTCCTGTATAGCAAATTTTAAACAATATCTGTGTATTAGAGTATATATATATATATATATATATATATATATATATATATATATATATAATATTAATTAATACACATTTTTCCTCAGCGATAATACAACTTGGAGTTTCATCCACAAAGAAGTATGTGTGTGCATGCAACTCAGTCATACTACTGGTGAAGGAAAAAATGTATATTTATTAATATACAATTTATAGCAGTGTTATATTGCATCAAGCACAATTTTATTAACACCAGCATTCTTTGTGTGATATTATATATATATATATATATATATATATATAATAAATTAATTTATTTTCACTTGAGGATGAAATGAAACTAATGTCTTTAATTTAATTACAAAATTAAATTCAAAGCTTTTAGCTTCCATGTTTGAAACATGGTTAGAACTTTGTAGCGAAAAAAAACATATTTTAAATCAATTAATTTATAATATTAATGCTCTGTAAATTTACATTGAGCACTATTTTGTAAAAATATAACTATCTATAACAACACCGGATTATATATCTTACTGTTCTTTCTTTTTATTTATATATATATATATATATATATTAATATGTATATATGTTTTTTAGTGTGTGTATATATATATATATATATATATATATATATATATATATATATACATATGCAATTTTTATATATATTATTTATATATTATATATGTGCGGTACTTATTGGAAAGTACTCAATATCAGTGATAGAGTTAACATATTTAGTTGGATTGATGTGTGTTTGCGACCCTGGGTTTCACACTCTGTGATCTTCAGACAAACTGATAAATTTTTGAAATTTTGTATTTATTTATGGTTGCGTATATCAATGTTTTATGGTAGTGGGAGGAAAAATTGTCGTCAGAACACCACTTATACATATGCAGACATACATACATGTACGTTCATGCATTGCAGCTCACACAAACATAAACATATATGAACAGTGTAGGACTGGGATGTGAATCCATGTGTTGTTGTGTGCATATGTATGCAATTGGTCACTGTATTCAATGTTAGCTTGTATACCAAACTTCTTTTCCAAGTGGGAACACACAGACTGTTCATCTATTTTGTTTGCAGAATAATGTTTTCTCACACACATTGCAACTTTGAAAGAAGTTCACTACACAATCCAACATTGAATACAGCAACTAATTGCATACATATGTATGCAATGACACATGGATGAGCATATACTCATGGTCCAACACCGTTCATATATGCTTATGTTTGTGTGAGCTGCAATGCCTGAACGGGCTTGTATGTATGTCT